CATTACATGTCGAAAAATTGGCTTTTTGTTGAGAAAAGTCGACTTGATCTAACACTTGAAAATAAGTTACAGTTGAAGTCTTAACAGTAAGTGATTCAAGGTTTTCAAAAGTTGAATTTTTTGTTTTCCCTTTCCGGCCTTTTTGTCAATTGAATGTTTTCCTTGTTTAGAACTGAAACAACGACTACTTTTCCAATGAAATTATAGTCTTTCAGTAGAAAGAAATTCACATGGATTGACCTTTGAATCGATCAACTTTGATTGTAGCTTGCAATCGCATTATCATGATAACTTGTTTAGTCAACAATTTCATGTTGAACATTTGGTAAAACCTACTGAGGTCAATCAGTTTTATCAGATTAGCTGAGCTATTTGATAGTCGTAAAAATGATTGGATAAAGAGTAAAACAGGCAAAAGAAAAGAGTTGATTGAAACGGAAATGTGGCCAACCAATTAACCATGATATCATGTAAACTGTGAGCTTCTAGAAGTTGAGGATTCAACAGAAAAATTGAAAAATGCAAGAAATGATGATTGAACCAATAAGACAACTGTGCAATATTATTCAACTGGGAGTGACTTTTAGCCATTCAAGTTGCAACTGATGGCAAAAGGTTGACCATTTTGACCAATCAATACTTGATTTTGCACACTTTTCCTCATTAGGTGTTGCTCCAGTTTCAATGCATCTTCAGCAAAGAAACGAAAGAAATAAAAACTCAAGACGTTAATAATGAACAAGAATAACAATGATTCTTTGAGCGAAAAAGAAGAGGAATGAAACCGAGAAAAAAAACATTACATTTATGGTTATTATTTTATTCATATTTGGATAATATTGATGGATAAGAAATGAGAATAAAAAGATGAGGAAAACGAAGAAATGTTTTTTTTCTCAATTTCTTTTTCTCTTTCGGATTTCATCTTTGATCTTCTCATCTTTTTGTCTTATTCAAGGCTTTTTACTTAGTCAAAGCTGATTAGTTTTCTGCTTCCATGGAATGCTGGAATGTCTTCAGATGAATTGACCTTGCATTGGTAATAAATTTTTCTTTGCTTTTCTTTTTTACACTTTATTTCTCATGAAGATATTGAGAAGAAAAAAAATCTCTTCAGAATCCATGATAAGGAAAAAGCTATGATGATGAGAGAAATAGTATGAAACAAGAAAATGTTTGTAAGTTTATTTTGACTCCAAGTAAACTCGACATCAGAATTTACTCTTAATTCCTTGGTTCGATGAGTTTGACAAGTTAACCGAGGTTATCATTGTGACAATACAACTCAATTTCATCCTGACACTCAACATTTAAACCTTTTTTTCCATGCTTCTTCATTTAAGCCCATTTTCATCGCAATCTTTATCAATTTTTTTTTCTTGAAATGATCACTGTTGACCTCAATAATTTGGCTAATCTTGGACTCGACTTTTATCAACTTTTGATTAAGGTTGTTGGTTGAAATTGGTTGAAAAAAGAGACGATCAAAATCAATTACTTGGTGGCTGAGAAAAATTCCAATTGATTAACTGTCTAATCAGAATCACAATTTTTGGGTTGCAGTTTTGCTCTTCTACTACTTGACTGTGTTTGATTAGATGAGACAAGGTCACAATTAGATTGACGCCAATTAATTTTCTTCAGAATCTTGCTGGTCAAGTTAAGATGAAATTAACAAACAAATTGAATTTCGATCAATGAACCTGATGAATAAGAAATGATTAAAAGAATGTTTACAAAGATTAAGTCAAAAGTGAAGGTTAATCTCGAGGTAAAGTCCAAGTAAAGATTCATCAGATTGCAGTTGCATTTGAAGTTAAGACATTTATGCTTTCCAGGTTCAGAAGTTTGCTTCAATGAACGATGTCATGGACGATCTTTCACAAGATTATTTTGCATCAAAGTCAGAAAAAAATGTTCAACTATTTCGATGAGCAAAGTTTCTAATAAGCATTCAGTTTTCCTTGAAAAAAGTCAAAGTAGAATAAAATTTTCGACCAAATGTTCTACATTTTTTACTTGCACCTCTGAGATATTAACTAACAGTGTTGACACTTGAATCATGTTGGAAAATATTTTCATCTGGAAAATCAAATCAGTTTAGTTCAGACTAAAATGTCGATAAAATCCAACGAAATGTGATAAGGTTGGAATCAATATTTTTAGCTTCGAGTTAATTCCTTTGATGATGAAAGCTGATTCTGATAAGGCTTGGCTTATGCAACTTATACAACAATTGCAATGAATCAGGGATTTAATAGCATTTGATTTGTTGGATTGTTCAAACAAGAATACAAGATGGATTGAAAATTGTTCCCAATTAGAATTTTTTCAATTTCTTTTCCTCTTCATCTTGAAAATGGAAATGCAATTTCAACTGAATATTTAAACATGAAAGAAAGGAGAGAAAAATGTTTATCTTTTCTTGCAATCCATTCCTAATTCCAGAACTGATTGTTGAGCCCTTCAAGTTGCCTCAGTTGACAAACAGTTACAAATGAACTTTTGTCACTATACTTACTGTACAATACAGAAAGAAAATGAATATTTGAATTGTGTTTCAACTAAAGAAAAGAAAGTGAGTGTTGAACATTTTCCATTCATTTTCATGATTTCTCCAAGTTTCTCTTTTCCTTCCCACATTTGTCAAGTGAAGACACCTAAACTTATCTACTCTCAACTCACACAGACACAACGTACATATACAAAGTGTGTAAAGTAAATAAACATTTTCATTGATTGACAAATGAAGAATGGCAAAAAAGAAGAAGAAGAAGAAGAGAAAGAAAGATAACAGAAACGATATTCAACTTTTCCCTGTTTATCATCATTCCCAGCATCATTAGCAGCAAACGTTTTACACCTAAAAATAGTTTTCACATTTGACACTCTGACGACAAGAAGAGGCAAAAACGTATCAAAATATCACCTTTCAATTGAATACAAAATGGCAACACTTTGACTTGCAACGATTTTCACTATTGATCCTTTTTTACCTTTTCATTGACATGCTACTTTATCATGAAAGAATCGACTGAAAAATCAGATGGCAAAAGAGGAAAAAAAGCTTTCACCTTTTACTTTCTTCTCCCACTTTAGTCATGATAAATGTAATCTAATAAATGGATTGGGTAACAATGTTAAATCATGCCTTGGGAATTCATCTTGAAGCCTTCGAATGTTGAAATTGTTGAAACTTTTAAGCAACGTCAAACCCTTGAAACCAAAACTTTTGCTGTTGTTCAGTTAATCAAAGTTTTGTTTCTTTGCTGTTGACCAAAAATTTCATTGCCAATCAAAAGGCTTTTAATCAAATGAACCCAACACAGTGTCGCATGAAAAAAAGTTGAATAAGGTGCAAAGTGAAGGCAAAACTTTTTCTCCAATTTCTGTAAATTCATTTCCATTCTTAGTTAATATTTATTCCTTTGAGGTTTCCAAATTGATAATGCTAATAACTTATAGATTGGGGAAGGTTTGGAAATGCAATAACCAGAATGATGATGATGATTGCTTTTGATTGGTTGAAATTTAACTTAAAGTTGGGCAAAGAGTAATATTATTTTGTAGACAAACTATTGAGTTCATTTTTTATCTGCCAATTTTTGATCATGAAAGGTTTAAAAAGCAAAGTTTTTTATCCTGACTTGGATCATTTGAAATGCAGTAAAAGAATCAGCAAAATCAATTTAAACTCTTTTCATTATTAACCTCTTCTGTTTCACTTGAAAGTAAATGCACAACTTTTGTGTTGAAAAATACAATTTAATTTGATAAAAAAAACAAACTTTTCCAATTGTATTTAACCTTTTTCTCTTCTTGCCCGAAACAAAAACTCTATTAATATATTTATTTTTACCACGAAAAATATCAAGCCTTTTACAGTGTCAAAAGCAAGTGGTGAAAAAACAATTCAAGTAATGACCCTAATCTGACCCTTAACAGTTTGGACAAAAATGTAATTTTACTTTGAATTCAACAAATGCAGCACATTTTCACAATGTAAATGGTAATAATGGTTGATAAATTAAGCAACGATTTCTTCCCTTTGAATGGGGACCAAAATTTCTCGATAATTAGATTGGTCAACCTCGTTTGATTACTTTTCTTGTGATAATAAACTACTAATAGGCCAACAATTATTTGCTTCACAAGTTTGGTCAGTTTAATGAGTAAAGTTTTGATTTGATTCCAATAAACATTTCATTTTGAAATAAGTTAAGGTCAAGTGTTTACAAACTCTTGAACTGATACTCAGACGCTGTTTCATTTGGTTATTTTGCATTATTATCAAAACTTAGGTTTTAGATTAACCTATGAGTTTGCTTATTTTATCACACTTAGGTTAACTTAGGTTAGGTTGGGTTAGGTTAGATTTGAATGCATCATAAGATTATTTTGCATTATTTTAACAAGACATTGATATGATTAAGAAGAGCTTCTATTGAGCTCGATAACAATAATGAGTAAAGGTTCATTAGTTCAAGTCCCAACAGTCTCATAAGTTTTGACTCAAAGTTTAAGCAACTTGACATTTGCATACTTTTCATAACTATGACTGGTAGGTAAAGGGTAAACTGATAAGAGTTGAAACGACTTTATTGCTCACGTAATAGGTTACTTTGATGATAAGATTCAATGTTTAATTTTTCAAATTATGTCTTGCAGATAAACCTCGAATTATTAATTCGCCCATTTTATCAAAATCTGCAAGTGATAATGGCTCTAAGGGTAAGCTGATTTGTCGAGCTCAAGGAGCACCCAACATTACGTTCCAATGGCTACGTGAAGGGGCCATCATCTCGGACAAACCAGGCAACACTAAGTATAACACTGAACCAGCGGAACAATTGAACCTGATTACCTACCAAAGTGTCTTGATAATCAATGAAGTAGCCAACTCTGATTACGGTCCATACGATTGTGTAGCCAGTAATGAGCTTGGCATCAACAGGCTTACAGTCCACTTTAATCATACCTCACAGCCTGATCCACCCTTGGTATTGAAAGTTGTCAACCGAACCTCATCAAGTGTAACATTGAAATGGATTCCTGGGTTTGACGGTGGCTTGCCTCAGTCTTTTCGCATTCGATACCAAAAAGTTGATGCTACAGGGTCAACCACTTTACCATCGCCTAACCCAACTTCATCAGCCTCTTTACCCAACACTCAGTCTACTCCAGATGCGTCAAGTTCAATCTCAACTGAACCTGCTCAATACTCGGATGTTTATCCTTCCAATACAACCATCTACACTATCAAGGGATTAACAGACAATACTGAATATTCATTTAATGTGATGGCTTACAATGACTTAGGAGAAAGTAAATATACTCATGACATTGTCAAAGGAAAAACTCTTCAAGGTAAGAAAAAGAATCCACAATTTATACCTTTTCCTCGTTATTTTTTTCCACCTTCATTATTCATAATTGATTTTGATTCAATATTTATCATGATGCAATGAAATTCTCTGACAAGAAAGACAAAGAGAAAAATTTGCCAATTCTTTTGATTGACACTTTACAAATTGGCATTTCTGCTTCATTTTAATGGAAACGACTCCAAGGAATTGAACATGGAATGAATCATTTTCCTTGGAATTGAAACAAATTGACTCATTGGGATTCATTTCATTGTTAACCTTTTATTTTTCAATGAAACCAGACTCGATGCACCATGCAAGAAAACATAATTGACGAAAAAGAAAAGTTCAACTCTTTTTACCTTGCAATTTATTCTGAAAGTTCCTAATGATAACAATTGCGATGATTCGGAAAAAAGTAGTTAATCAATCATTGAGAAGGGGGAAGAGAAGTGAGCAAATAAGTGATTTAATTTCATGACAAATATGCATATCAAGTGGAGCATAATGTTTCACTTAATTAAACTAATCTCAACTGTAAATAATAGTGATCAACATGGAGAGAATGAAATGCTTTATCAATTCCATTGAGAAATCCATCAAATTTTATCGGTAAAACAGGGAAAGCAGAGCGAGAGAGAAAAGGAAAATTCTGCACAAATTATTCAAACAGAGATAATGATAAACTCTGAAAGGGTTCAACAAGAAAATGAAAGAGAGAAAATCTGCAAAAATTCCTTTTTCACTTTCAGGCAATTCTTGAGTGAAAATTTGCTCACTTTCATGATAAACTTGTACCAATTCTCAGACCTTCATATTTACTTGTTATCAATTTCATGAGCATTACTTCATTTATCTAGTTAATATTAGTCTCCAGTTATTATGATTAGATATTTTTTTTGCTTCTCTTGATACAACATTTTTTTCTCCTTTTCTTCTCATTACATGATAAACAGAATATTCTGAATCAAAGTAAACTTGGTTTGCAGTTTACTTTTTTCTTCTTCTCCTCCTTAGACAACAATTTTGGATTCTTTTCCTTTACTCATATCATTTCTATGGTTACTCCTTCCTTTCCTGGACAATAATGATTAACTCCAAACTGATATTACCTAACAATAAAACTCGCTGATTGGTGCACATTTTCATCATGATTAGCTGAATTGATCAACTTGATAAACTTTAGTCTTGTTGGACTTCTTTTTCGTTGATCAGCTTTCCATTTCTGCTTTTCCATTGAAACCATTTTGATAAAAGTTGATGATATCATGAACATATACGAATAACAAACCAATTATCAATAATGAAACTAATAACTTGATGTGAATATAAAAGGAAATGCTATCAAAGTAAAAATGTTGTCATTGGATGCAATTAGTTTTACATTTCACAATAAATTACGAAATGACCAGAAAAGACATGATAAAGTTTCAATATAAATGTAGAGCAAAAAATGATGATACCTTTTAACCCAATTTTGATTGGTTCACATTCTCATGGGAAGCTGAGTCAAACGTGAATTTCGGTTGAATGTTCATTATCGAGGGTTTAGTGTTTCAAGAAGTATCAGGAATCATAGGAATCACAAAGCTCGTCAAACATCTACAAACATCAAAAATGCCATTAAAACAGTTCAATCGAATAATCATTCATAAAGAAACTTTTGTAATCCTGAAAACTCTCCCAAAATTAGAAGAAATTTCATTCAGAAAAATTCTGAATTTCGAAATCGGAAAATTCGAAAACGCTGAGAAAATTTCTCAAAATTTGCAATCGTTATTCACTAAAAAATTGAAAAATTCGATTTAAAGAATTCTTTGGAAATTTCATTCGAAAAGTTTTCTGATTTTGGAATTTTTAGACCTGAAAATTCTGAGAAATTTTGGCGAAAGTTCTCTGGAAAGTGAAAAGTGTAATTATAAATTTTTAGTTTAGAAAATCGATTTAGACATTAATTTCGAATATGAAAATTCTGTGATAAATTAGTTCTTTCGAAGTTCTGAGCAAAGAATTGCAGGGTTTCGTAAAATTTCATCTGGAAATTATGAATGGTTTGAAGCGTATTTTTGAAGAAATTTTTGCTCAGAATTTTATTCAGGGAAAAAATTAATGGCTCCTTTAGGATAAACTGAAATTGAATTGTTAGCTCAAAGTTAATGGAATTAGAAATGATAATTTGTGTGAAAAATGGTTTATTTTAATCTTTCAATTAATTGCTCAGCCTAATCTCATGTAGAAATAGAAGTTGAAACGAAACTTGTAATTGCAATTTAAATCAATTTATTGATCTCAAGGATTAATTAAGGTACAAGTGTACCCTTGGATTAACCTTAATTACTCAATATTTGTTAATCTCAAGATCAATCAGTGTGAATATTGAACTTGTTTCTGTAGAGAGAATCACATTAATCTCTCAATTGATAACAGAAAACCCAGAATTAATCTCAACTTTGCAACTTAAGTTTTTCTTGGTTTACCTATTTTTTGTCTTCCCTCAATTCATCCAAACTTGAACAAACAAGATCCAAGAGATGAACAAAACTAATGCAAAAAGAGAGGCAAAAAGAAAAACACATTTTCTTGACTATTCATCTTCCCATGTAGACTCATTCATGCGCCGGGGAAAAAAGACGAATCACAAAAATAACGAAAAAAATGGCAAAAAATTGCATTTCTGTTCAAATTTTGCCTCATTTTGCGCAAATAAGCAAAACCATGAAAAGAAACATTGGAATAATTGTTTCGTTGAAATGAAAATTTTGACAATAAAATTACTTTTTTCCTCTTCTTTTCATAATCAATGATATTTCTTCATAAATGCTTGTCAAACCAGAATTTTAATCATGAAAGTTTGGAACAATTTTTTTCCAATTTCTGTTTGTTTTAAAGGGAAAGGTTGAAAGTTGATAATGAAAAATGAGAAAATTGAAAAAAAAGAAAAAAAAGTATCATTGATTTTTATTCTCCTGTTCATTTGAATAGACACGAAAAATATCATGAATTTAATGGTGAGCTTTACGATGAATGTTAACCATTTACCGTGTTAATTAAAAATGCAAATGAAGAGTTGAACCTTTCTCTTGTGTCACTTTCATTTGGTGAAATGGCGAAAGGGTGAAAAGAGGGAAAAACTAAACGATTGAAAAGACTTGTAATTTACTAATTGTTGTTACTTTTGTTTTTAAACCACTTTCATCACTCGACTCTTCAATTGTTAACCAGAAACTTTTGCCTTCTTCTTCATTCTTTGTTTGCCTTTTTTTCTCCTTCTTTTTGTGGTTTCATGTTTCTGTCGTATTCCAACCCTTTTATCTCAATGAATCTTGATTAATAATACATGATTTTAATTACAATAATGTTTCTCATTTGTCTATTTAATTAACCTTTTCCTTTTGTTATTTTTCTCTCTCTTTCTGTCTTTGTCAACATTTCTACAGAAACACCAATCTCTGAAACTGAGAGAATCTCTCAAGTATTCTCAGGTCGTTCAGGTGACGTTCCAAGATTAATCATTATCGCAGTTTCCATTCTTGGAAGTTCACTTTTACTTCTCAATGTTGTTCTGGTTGTTTGCTTTGTCCGTAAACGAAGGAAGAAGCGACTCGAAGAAGGTAAGTTAAGCAACTTTTGATTTTCTTTTTTCTCGAACCTTTTGTTTCTCAAAGAAAAGGTGAAAATTTTTACATTTAACGATAAAGCAACTTGAACAACTCCATTTCAACTCGAGTCAATTTCATTAAAAGTTCAGAGGAAAATTGATGTTTCGATTCGATACTCATTTCTTTCCTGTCAATGTCAAACTTATCTTGCAACTTTTCGTTGTTTACAATGGCCAGTTGTTGGATTTGCGAGTTTATCCAAACTTTGAAATGTTGAGTTCGACTTTTAAAAATCTTTGTTTTCTGTTTCATAACAATTTTCAGACTTTTCAGGGAAATGAATTTTCTTATTAGTTGAAGTTATTCAAGGTGAGAAAGTGATTCTATATGAGCAAAGTGATCAATCAATGAGTTAAATAAAATATTGAAAGGTTTCGCGATAAACATGAGTTGAAACAGATTCCAGGAGAAAAGGAAAGAAAAAAGACTTTTCTCTGAAAAACAAGATTCAAGTCATTTTTATTTGAATGAAAGGTTGACATTGATACTGGCCAAAGATCAAATGAACATTGAAAATGGAAAATGTTGATCTTTTTAATCGTCTTCATCTTTTCTCATCTTGACAATCATTCGAGTTTCTTCCATGTTGAACCAGAGTTGAACCCAACATGAACATTCAGCAAAAAGAAGTCAAATTTTCTTCAAGAGTTTCGAACGAGTTGAATGATATTTTGAAAGAAGAAGAAGAAGAAAAAATGAAAACGAAAAGACTGACTTCTTGAATAACATTTCGTTCAAGTTGAAAATTTTTCCTCTTTACAGAAAATTCTCACTGATTTATCCTTTTGTCATGAATGGCAATCCATTGAATGTCCTTTAAAAATTGCAAATAAATTGAACTTCTTTTCATGAGCAACTTTTCAAAAACTTTTTCTCCTTCTAATCATCATTATCTTCACTCTCATCCATTCAACTCTCGAAGTCGAAGTAAATCAAATAAAAATGAAGCAAAAGGGTTATCATGAATTCACTTCTTTCATGTATTCCTTTTCAGTTTACATTTATTTGTATCTTCCCTGGAAAGGCAGCAAATCTGTATTGTTGTTATCATTTTACTCAATGATTTTTGACAATTATTATAAAAGCTGAATCCATCAAGAAACGGAACAAGAATGTTGATAATGATGATGAAGATGATTAAGATGAGCCAAGATGAAAATGATGCAAAACCAAAAGATTAACATGATGACAGTGTTTATATAATATTTACTCCCGTTGATCTTTATTACAATAATGTTGACTCGTAATCATTATTATTGTTATTTATTATCATCTCTGTACTTGCATCTCTTCTCATCATTTTTCATCATCTTTTCCTCATCCTTTTCCATCAGAATTTCTTATTCAACTTTCCTCTCATCTTTCAAGTTTATTCAACAAACTTGGCTAGACGTTTGCAAGTCAACAAAAAGCGAAAACTTGGTGAAAAAAAGGAAAACAAGAAAAATTTCCTTCTCAACTTTTCACTCCCAGCGAGTTTCAAGAATGATCATTTTCCATGTTTTATTGTTTTCCTTATGATAATGAAGATGATGAAGAGAGTGGGAAATGAAGGAAAAAGAAAAGAGAAAAAAGTCGAAAATTCTTTACCCTTTATCACTCCCACTGTTAACAGCAATTCATGACTGATTCAAATGTCGACAATTTTCCATCTTGATTATCATAACCATTAGAGATTTTGTGACTTTTCATTTTTCTCTGTTCAGATTAATTCCAAACTTTTTTCCTCTTTTCTGAAAGTAACATTTCTTGCCTTGAAACATGCCCTCTGTTGGAATCATGGCGAGGTTGAAGAGAGAAAAGTAAATTGAAAGAATTTAATTCAAATGAACTAATCCATGTTGAATCAAGTGAACACCATCACAATTGAATTTATCACTTTTTTCACTGAATATTGTTATTGTTTTCAGTTAAGCCTTTTCGCTCTCACTTTTCAACCTTTCAACAGCGAATCAAGAATAGAATGGAAAAAAATGATAATTGAATTTCTCCTTTCTTTTGCTTCATGAAATCTCATCACTTGAACTTGCAAATTCATAACACTTAGATAACTTGAGAATTTCATTTAAATGCTACTTTTTTTTCTCTTCATACTTTTTTCTCCATTTTCCATTAATTAAAATCCTTTCTGTTGTTGATGTTGTTTCATCTTATCCAATGTTTTTTGATGAGCAACAATGTGAAGTAAAAAGCGAGAGAACAAAAAATCAGGTTCAATTTCATGTCAAGGAATGATAATTGATGTAAGCAAAAGAACTGAGAAAAGATTCATTTTGTTTGAAAAAATAACTCTCGAGTTTTTTTCCTTCTTCTTGCACCCAGCAATGGAACAAATTGAAAGCGAAAAATAACAAAACTCTGAATTTTAATCTTTCATCAAAGATAATTATTCTCATTATTTCCATTCATGGATATTCAGCAAACTTGCATATTCAGGTTGCTATTGTTCCAGCCATTCCGAGCCATTTTTCACTTGAAAATGATAGTTAACCAAACAACAAATCCATAAAGTTAATTTCTGGTACAAATTTTCTCATCAGATTGTTTCTCATGAACAGGGAAAAGTGTTTCAAGTTGCTTTTGTTTTCATGCTTTTCGAAGGGAAGAAAATTTTAATAGAGAAAAGAGAGAAAAACATTAAAAAATGGAATTCGAAATTAACAATATTTCCGGCAATTTTGGCTCATTTGGTCAAGTTAAATGACCAGCAATTAACGGTTGCTCATGTTGATAACAAATGATTAAAATGTTTTGTTTCCATTTCTGTTTGCCTTCAACTTTATCCATAGAAGCTGATGGTTCCAGCACAAACAAGCCAACAACCATTGAAATGTATGCACCAGCTTCCGGTTCAGGTGGAAGCTATACTAATGGACCAAATGAAACTTCCTTATCTGGTTCTGATGAGGAGAAGCACAGTGAAGGTGCTTACTCGGGTCACACCGATTATGATATGGTAAGCCTTTAATTTACTTTTTTCCAGTCAATTTCCTTTTCCAATTTCAACATTTCTCCCAGTTTTCTGGTTTCCAATTTTGTCCATCTTTTCAATTGCTTTCAATTTATAACTTTTATTCACTTGCGGACAAAATTTGCTTTTTCGTTGTTGCTCGAACATGTTTAATCATTTCATTATTTTGCTCCTTTCAAATTAATTTCATCGTCTTTTGGGAAAATAAATTAATTTGTCGCCTTTTCTCTTGTTTCTTCACTTTCTTTTTCACCGCATTGTTTCAGGAGATGAATCCGGGTGACACATTAAATGGAAACCAGCAAAACATTCATCCTAATATCCATTCTTACATGCATGGAAACATTCATCAAAGTCTGTCCACTTATCTGATTGATGATACCCTGGATCATGTAACCAGCTACTATCAACCCATGTTTGGCCAAGAAAATAAAGTAATGATAATTTATTTAACAAAATTATTTCCACTCTTTTCCATTAAACAGAGAAAAATATTGATGAAAATTTCAAGTCATCAGGCACAATTTTCCTTCCAAGTCGACTTTTCAGATATTCACCAATCGATGCAACGAAAATTCTTTAGTTAGAAGAGAAAATTTTCTCAGAAAAAAAAGTAAAATTGTCGCAACAGTTGATTGACAAAATCATCGGTTTTTGGTTCGACTTTTGCTCATCAATTTTTCACCTCAAATCTCGAAGCAAATCAAGGCTTAAATAGAAACTCATTTCAGGATAAAACCAGAACTTGATTGAAACAAAGTTTCAATGCTTTCATTTCTTCGATTTCAATGAATCGCTAACAATTTGAATTGCATTTCTTGCAAAACTTCATTTCTTTTTCCCAATTTTTCATTCTTGAGTTGCAAAAATGAGCAAAAATCTCATTATCGATTCATTGCAATCATACAAATTAAAACTTGAAAAATTAAGTGGAAAAATTAATGACTTTTTGCTGATGAAATATCGAAGGCGGAATTTGAAAAGAAATAAACTTTAAAAGTTTGAATAATTTGTGCACAGATGAATGGTCAGTACATTAATAGATTTGAAATAAACTGGAAAAAAGACAAAATTAGCAAAGTAATTGAATAGCCCTGTACATATTAATGTTATTAATGAGCAACAAAACGATTCATTTTTCATTTTCTTTTCCATGTTGTATTAATTCTCTTCTCCCTGTTTCACTTTTCTGTTTCAGTGCATCAACATACCTCCAGTGCCTCCATTAAGAAGCATCAATCTGGCTTCATTTTTACCAATGATTAACGAGGAACCATTATTCATCAACAGCTCACCGCTTGGTCATCTAGTTTAATACTCATTAATTTATAATAATGATAATTGTTATAACTTTTACTCTTGCCTTTCTCACCCTCTTGTAATTGATATAAATATGGTCAAATTGATATTGAGAAGGAAGAGAAGGAAAACCGTTATCCAAAAGAGAATTTTTAACAAGAACGAAAACGCAAAAAATCGAAAAATTTTATCCCTTTTATGCTCTCTTTCATCATCCAAAGTCTCTTCTCTTTACATGTAAAAATTGACAACATTTTTCAAAAGTTCTTGTCACTGCATTAAGATCCGTCCAACGTTTTGTTTTGACCCTCAATCCCTTCAAGTCGACGAGTTGCTTGAATGCAGCAAGATTCATCCCTTTTTTCAACTGACCAATGGTGAAGAGAATTTTTGGTCATCATTCTTTTTTCTACCTTTTCTTCTCTTCACGGACACTTACAGGACGCACTTCAAGATGACATGAGTGTTTGGTTGGTGTGAATAAACAAATATTTGGCTTCTTTCTTTTTTCTTCATTTTTCTTCAAAAAGTGCCTCACATTTCATCGCCATTTCATTCATGCTCATTCTTCTCTGTCTGCCTTAATCATTTAAATGCTGTCCAAATAACGCAAATGCTGCTGCCCTTGATTTTTGTTCACCTCAAGGCACCTCTTTGTGTGGTCAAATCATGATACATTTCACCACATTTATCATCATTTTTAAATGTCTCTTTTTTTGTCTGATCTCATCAAACAAGTGAATTCACTTTTTTGTTTTTTATCTGCAATTCTGTTTCAAACAACAGATGACTCTATTTACGAATAAATTTTACGCTTTCAGGTCGATTATTCAGTGTCTCATTTATTCTGCGATATTTTGATAAAAAATGTTAATTGCATTCAATCTTTATTCACTTATATTAACTTGTTTCGATTATGATCAGTTGCTCATCGATCAATCGATCAGAAATTGATTTTATTGAAGAGCAATTTGCATAGAGTAACAGTTAGCAACTAGTTTTACATGATTGCCTCAAAGATTTGATAAGGTTTTCATGATTTCATGATATTAAGCATTAATCATCAACCAAACTTAAAAGCCAAAGTTTCGGATTTAGGAATAAATGTACTTTAAATGCAAAGTCAAGTTATATTCGTAAATAACGCGATGCACTCTTGAAAAGAGTGATTTCATCTTTTGAATCGCCAAAATTTTGAAGTGGAGGTCGATTTTTTACGCTTTCCGCAGTTCCGACCGTCAAACAATCATGATCGATTCAAGATTTTGTTGCTATGATTGGTTTTGTCCGCAGAATAATCAAAATCGGAACAACACTAATTTATACGCTCGATTCAAAAATGAAATCTTTATCCAACTACAGCAATCACTTAAATTAAAACAGCACCACCTATCTGCATTTCCCAAAACTAGGTAAAATTTTGAAATGTTGTTCGAAGAAAAGCCAATAGATGGCTCTTTAGTCAATTTCTTGCACAAAGCAATCCAAGAACTCAAAAGAGCGCAATTTTCAAAGCAAGTACAGTCGCCATTAAGAAACCGATTTTGATTTTCAATAGTTTATCTATTAATACACTATTTGTGTGCCAACGATTTTCACTATTCATTAGTAGATAAAATTTTGTTAATCATAATATTTTAAACTGATTAGATGAGTTTTTGGTTAATTTTTGCTTGACGCAAGAAATTGAACTAAGTTAGTCAAATCGATGGGATTCTGAAAGTGTGAAATTCCAGATTAATAGGCGGATCCAACAAAATGAATTTGACCTTTTTTCGACTGTACCCCAACTCTTGCTGTTATTATCAGATGGAGTTACTTGTTCAATGATAAACAAAAAGCCTTCCCAGTCAATCCGAGAAAATCTTGTATATTCATGAAGTTTCAATTCGAGCTTATATTGAACGCAAAATTAGATAAAATTAGATTCATGTTATTTCATTCTTCATGCATCAATACTCAGATATTTTACTAATCTGTCATAAATATTTCGCGTTTCATCCAATCAACTCAATGCGATGTAAAAGTTTCAAACTTGGAACTATAAAAAGTGTTGATTAAAGGATAAATTGAAAAGCGATAAAAATGAGCAAAAATTTGCGTCAACAGAAACTTTAAATTATCATTTTAGCTTTGATATTAGCTGTTGAATTGCAATTATCCATGAAAATGGCGTGATAAATGTTGACGAATAAAAACTTTTAAATGATATTCCGTGTTGTTCAATTCATATCTTTTCACATCATCTTTACTTCCAATTAATAACATGAAAGATGAAACTTGGCAAGAATTATAGTTTTATTATACCTTTAATTAGATACAGAATAGTTTTAATATACACATTTTTTTTCTTCTTCATGGTACAATTGTAATCAACTCTATTATAATCAATAGATGAGGCAAAGGATTGGAAATAAATGTATAATAAAAACATTTCTCTTCCATTCAGTGGTTCCATGAATGATTACCCATTGAATTGAACTTGCCAATTATCTCCATCATTCAATGAACTAATAATACATGGTTCGATTTTATGAATGAGAAAAGTTTTGCGAAGAGAAAAAGAAGAAATTAATTTCAACTCTACAGAATCAAGAAGTTGATTGATTATGTTCTCAAAGTAAACTTGAACAATTAAAAAGTATTTTCTCATTCATTCAATCCATCTACATGAATAAGATCTCGATGAATATTTTATTTTCACCGAACGAAAGAAGAAAAAAATAATTGAATATCTTTCGTTCATTTATTGATAAGTTCATTGGCTAACTCAACTTTTCATTCAAATACAATTTTCAAAATTTCAAGATTACAACTGATTTACAGGATAAAAAAGTTCAATTTTGGATAATTTTTGGATTCTTCAAACTCAACTTTCGATTGATTAAAATGTGTTTAAATAGATTGAATCAAAGAGTGTTTGGAGGAAAGGAAAAAATGGAGAAAAAATTGTATTCGTTTTCGTAATTTTGTTTCGTTCGATTTTCGTTTCAATTGCTTCCTTATCCTGATTTGACTTTCAAAGGTTGTGCATCCAACAAGTGACTGGGTTCGACTGGGTTGTTACCCTTCAGTTAGAGCTATGAGACGGCACAACTGTTTCGTTTAGGTGTTACTTTATCACGAAGAGCTGGACTTGTTGGATAAGCGGGAAGCGATTTCCGTCTAATCTTTGGGTTACCAATAACTGAGCCAATCTTGTAAGGCACACCTATTTGAACCATTAGCTGTTGAAATATTGTGTTAATGTTAAAGTCATCTTTAGCCGATGATTCAACGTAACCATTTTCCCAGTCAATGGTGACAATGGTTTCAGTCAACTCTCTCTTGATGACTCTCATTGAATCGAGATCACATTTGTTTGCAGCAACCACAATAGGCGGTAGTTTAACTGACTCGAGAAAACTTGACTCATGCAAAGAGTTTTCCTCATCTTCATAACGGTAACCATAGGTTTGCAATCGATCCAAAGTGCCAGAGTTAAAAGACGAATTTTTGACCTTTTCATTGATTCCTGGTAAATAGCTTCCATGGTTGAAGTAAATATTATCTAGTCTATCGTTATTGTGAGAATAATTGTTATTGTTGATTATCGGGTTGATACTATGATGACGACCTCTGTTTTGAGGGATTAAACAAGAGTTGTAACTTTCATGGCAAAGTCTGTTGTTCACAAGGTTGGTCAAGTTGGGGCCGACGTGAGGTTGAGTGAAACTTGGACTAGTGTTGTTGCTAGCATTGGGATTGACTGAGGCCATTGTTGCTGCATTGGCTTCTGCTGCTTTACACTTTTTTGTTGCAATAATTTCATCACGAAGTCGCCTAACCTCTTCAAAGGATTCTGAATCGGTCAATGAAAAGACGAGTAAAAAGGCATCTGCACTTTCAATGGCAAGTTTCTTCATAACGGGAAACTCGTGGGATCCCGAAGTGTCCAAAATGTCCAATATTAAAGGACCAAAGCCTTTGACTTCATACTCGGCTCGATGAAGCTGATCAACCGTGGCAATGTAAGACTCGGGAAAATGTGAGTAAAGAAATTGACTGACAATGGCCGTTTTGCCTACTCGAGGTGAACCCAGGACAACAATTTTTATGTGAAAATTTCCTTTCCCTTCCGAATGAGTTGAACTCAACCTACCAAGTGAAGGTAAATGGCTTGGCATAGTTAACCAATTGGCACTGTTAGATCAGCAAAAGAATCAAATCTCGTTGTTCCAAGAAACCGAAAAAATTGTAAACACTTTTCTTCGTTGTTTCGTGATCCAAACAACTCTACTCTTGCAGCTAAAAATAGTGAACAAGAAAACAAAGAAAAGTTAAAATGCATTTAAATACAAAAGACTTCAAATGAAGAAGACAAATATTCATAATTAACAACAAACTTCACAGTTGAAGCTTAATGAAGGCTCAAAAAAAGATAATTCAATTGCTAATTGAACTCTAAATTTTTACACTTTTCATAACCACTTGATGAGTCAATAACCGAGTTACCTTGAATAGCAAATTAAATGTTAAAATAAAAAGGTTTCTCTTAATCATACTTGAGCAAATAATTATTCATTTGCTAATTGAATCGGTATCAACACTGCAAAGTTAAATGAATAATTACTATTCAAGGTTGGGAATTTGTTTTTTGTTCATTTCACTCCCTTTCAAGTTGAAATGCTCTTGTCCAATGTAAACATTTCAATTAGACTGCAATTGAAGTGCAATAAAATTATTATAATCATTATTATTGAAAAGAGCAACTTTTATCCTCTTATATAAAGTATATCAATATTGAAATGCTTTTTTTGTCGTTTCTCTGAATTTCTAGATAAGTTGATAAAGATTCATCATTTATGAATATTCATAGCTTTTATAATACCTTTAACCCTGAAAGTCTAGTAATTGCAAAGGTTTCAGAACTAAGGTCAGTGTCATTGGCCTGAACGAAGGTTAATTTGTGCAAACAAATCTCTATAAATGATCCACTTTGGATAAACTTCTTATCATTGGCAAAGTTCAATTCCAAGTTCAACTTTTATTTGCTTTTGCAATGTTATTCAACATTTTTCATCATTATTCACAGCATTGATTGATGCAAGTTGTACAAGTGTGTAAATAAAAGCACCAAATAAAACGTGAAACCATTAAATATCAATGAATTTGTCATTTTTTACTCCAAACCTTAACTTTATTCATATTAAATTTGCGTAAAATCTTTTTACAAATCAATCTCCATTAGAAGAGGTCGAAATTGATTTTTCATCTTCAAACGCTTTTGGTAAACTCTATTGATATTTATAGCCTTCATTCAACTTTATTCATCTGTAAATATCATCAATCAATTCTTGCGATTCAAATTAGATGATTTATTGTCTAACAATTGAAAATTTACGACAAATTGAAAAACGATTTCCTTTAAACTCTCGAATTTCTCTCAATTGCAGAGCTAGTTTCGCATTTGGAATTGACAGTTTCTTGGATTTCTTTAATTTTTGATGATTTTCTTGATTCTTACCATCGAAAGAATATTTTGGTTTGTCTCAATAATTCGGTCCTTTTTTACTGTCAATTTTTTACTGATGATTATTGATTAAATTCGTGCTCAATGGATGCAAATAAAAAATGTTTACCAATTTTCAAGTTTAATTTGAGCAACTCTGTCATTTTCTGGAATCGAGATTAACTCGAGCCTCAGGCCATCTAAATGAAAAGTTAAAAGGAATGAAGCTTCCAGATGATTCGTGATCAGAGAGCAACAGAATCTTGGAAAAGTCGAGAAAATTTATGTTTTATTATTCATTCAAATCGGCCACTTCAACACTTGATGAGTTCAAATGCAAATTGTCTCGAGAATTGTTTTAAATCATTCATCGAAATGGTTTGATTTCAAGGTGTGCAATTGTAGGTTTGGAACTTTTTTTCCTCGAAATTAATGAGAAAATTTATGGTATATTAGAAGGCAAACTTTTGCTAATTATAAACTAATTGCTCTGCTTTCTTCATATTTTATTGATTTACTGAATGAAATTGTTGCATTGACCTGACAAAATTGAGTTTGCTTAGGTTCGTCAAATATTTACATCAAAAGGCTTTTGCGATGAAAATAACTTTTTTATTGAATTAATGATGAGAGCTTTTATACAACAACAATTTTTCCCTTTACACACATGTTGCTCTGTCAGACAAACATTTATCAAACAGATTCATCTGACTGAACAAAGAAGAGAAAAGCCATTTTCTAGTCTCAATAGTTTCAAGTAACATTATCATTGTCTCACTGGTGACTAAAGACAAAAATGGATAAACAAGATGAGAATAAATTTGATTCCTGATTGATGATTGCTCGATTAAATTATGGACAGAAAATGTAATTTAAAACAAGTGAAAGCAAATCTCGACACTTTCTGCAAATTCAAGGATAAGTAAACAAATCTATCAAAGCTCCAAAAGTTTCAATGAACAACAAAAATTGATGAAAAGATGAATATTCGTCTTCGATATTTTCGCGTTTTCCAAAAAAGATTTAAATGGATTTGCAAGATTGAATTTCAACCTGATTGGGTTCGAAGAGAAAAAAAATCAAAACAGATCCAGATTCTCCTTTTTCAGCAAGTTTCATTTCGAACTGAACAGACGAAAGAAAAGTTTTTTTTCTTTGCTATCGATTTTTTCTCAAATTCTGAAACATTTCGATAGCGATTTCAAGGTTGCGTTTTTTATCTGATGGCAATCACTCTCGACTCATTATCGATGAAAAGTTCATGTTATTTATGGCTTTTCATTGTTTTGCTTTTTCTGTGCAATTCTTTCATTTGCATTCTTTAGTCAACTCATTTTTCACCTGAAATGTAAAAAGAGAAACAAATGCATTTTCATTTCTATTGCAATTGAATTAAATGAAACTTTTTCTATTGCATTTCCAATTAATTAGCCTTCAACTTTCAGTTAATCCTATAGACCGTATGATAATTCAACATTTGCTCATCAATCAATGGTAAATGTTAACCTCTATTAAATCACATTTACTTTGAATATTCATTTGTTTACCATTGGTTAGCATTGAAAAGGCCAACTTCAAGTTTAATAAACAAATGTTGAGATTCAATGACGTTTCCATGAGTTTTCACCTTTTTAATGATTGAATTAATTTGAAAAAAAACTCAATTCAATTGGAAACTTTAGCGAAATTTCCCATGGAAAAAAGGTTAATTTTTGTTTTGACCCAATTTTTGGAATAAAAAATTCTTAAAACAATATTAAAGAGAAAACAAAAAGTTCTGAAATTTTCACTTTACTCAAAACTTGATGAACCTTGAAATGATTGGAAAAGATTTTACTCTAATTGCACAACAGATTAACTTGAACTAAATGGTTCACCTGATTTCATTTCATTTCTTGCTTTCTCTTCTATTCAGCTCATTATGCTTTTTGAAACGCCCTGTTGAGTCAACAATTGTGAATACATTATTATGGAATCCCAATTGGCGGAAAATTGAGAAAAAAAAGACTAACAAAGTTAATTGAATTTTCAGCACAGATTACGTTCAGATTATGTAAATTAACTTGTAACAGTTGATGTGATGATAAAGGTAACGAGAAAAAAATGCAAACCTGAATCCATGGTGAGAATGGAAATTTTCAGTTTCCTGAATCGACTAAATGTTGAAATATTTAAACTGAAATATTTTGCATCATCATTTAGAATAAGAAATTTATCGTTATTACATTGATATCATTTCAACTCCCAGCATAAATCAAGTTTATGTTTTGAAATTTTGTTGCAAATTTAATCCTCTAAAGAGGGAAAAGTTGAATTTCCTGTAATTCATATTTCTGTTTATTGGATCAACCTTGCAACTTGATGGCCAATAAATTGAATCAACTGATTGAATCATGGGTAAACTAATAATTAAAGTTGACGTGACGGGGAGTGATGATAAACATGGAGTTGACATTCAAATTCCCAGTTGATGTTGGAAGCAAAGAATTATTGACTGGGAGGAGAAAATATCGTAAATTTTCTCTAATGAATAATATTCTCATTAATGTTGGACATTAGTCTTTTTTTCATGCTATATTAATCTTTTCAGTTCTAATTTACTCAGTGATTATATTTAGGTATTTGGGTTCAATCTTTTTCTTCTAATTCTGTGATTAACGATAAAGTTGCGGAATAAAATTTCTTGTTTTTTTCTTCTTTTTTCATGATAAATTGATTTGATGAAAGTGAAAACTTAAATGAAAATCCTTGAACTCATTTGAAAATTATTAAATTTTTATATTCTCATTGTTTACATCCAATGTGAAAATCCTTGAACTTTTGCTTCTATTCTGCCATGGTTATCATGATTCTTTTATCATCAATCTCAATGATTTCTTCTTCTTTTCCTTGTTCCGCCATTTATTGTTCATTGAGAAAACTTTGCTTTGATGATGACGTTGGAAAAGGAAGAGAAAAAAAATATCAAATTGTATGGAAATTATTGAAACACTTTGAATAACAAAAGATTCAAAATTTTTGCTCCCTTTTCTGTTCCAAATTAAACTCCATTCAGGGAGGATAAATTATCAATAAGTTGTTCTTGAATTTCAACTTACCGATTCAGTGCATCATTATTCATCTGGGGATAAACAATTAGCTAAACTTCAAATTTAATTAGACAACAATTCATCAAATTTAATGATGAAATTTCATTCTATCTTAGATTGGCTTTTCAGCATTCATCTTGACCTAGATAAAAATCAATCCATCATAACATTGGGAAGCACAAAAATTTTTATCATCCTTTTGATAACAATTTACTCATCAGCACTTTTAACTCAAACACAATGCATTTCAACTGCCTATTACACTCCCAGCTCAACTCCCAGCACAGCTTCAATCTGAGGTTCAGTTTATTTAGTTCCTAACTTACTGTTAGCTGGAAATGGTTGGAGGTTGGATGATTAGTTAAACTTCAAAGGTTCTGATAACGATGAACATGAAATGAGATTTAATCTGAACTGAGCTTCTCTCTGCACATATTAGAATTGATTACGTTAGAATTCTCACAGTTCTATCTAATCATTTCCATGGCTGATCGTGAAAGAGATTATCAAAAGTTCGGATGATAATTAGCAGATAACGAGCGTCACAAATCACACTCTTGATTCAGAATCCAGCGTAATTCCCAGCTCTGTTTTTAGTGCTCAACCTTTAAAGTGAACGGATTTTTATCTGATTTTCAATCTCTGATTCAGAATTGATAACCATTGTTTCCCTTTACCATTCTATTCATTTGGCAGGTTAGTTATCA